GATGGGAGTGTCGGAGATAGTGTGATTGGCACAGGACAGAGCGGAGTTTAGGGCTGTTGTACATAGGGTCGCTATGAGTCGCAAGCGACTTGACGGCACCTAACAACAACAACAACCCGGTTAATGTGTGATAAAGGTTCCTTGGTGGTACCGCGAGTTAAAGCACACTGCTAACTGAAAAGTGGGTAGTTTGAACCCACTTGCTGCTCCATCAGAGAAAGAGGATATCATCTGCTTCCATTAAGATTTACAGCCTCTCGAGACTGCTGGAGGCTTATTGAAATCAACTCCATGGCAGTGCACTTGCTTTTTTTAGTTTTAATGTGTGATATTGCTGAATTATAAAGACACCCGCAAAATATCAAAGGTAATTAAGGACATCTTCTTGTTGTGTAACATTGAGTCAGAACCAATCCATTAGCTGATCCTCCAGAGGGTTTTCAGAACCAGTTAATCATTTGGGAGGAGATTTCCCATCCTTCTCCAGTGGAGCAACTGGTGGATTTGAACCGGATGCCCTTGGGATCGCAGCACAGCTTCTTATAGGCCTAAAAAGAAACCTAAGCACTCCACCCCTCTGTTCGATAAGCTCAGTTCTCCGTCTGAATGTCTAAGGCCACATTCTGGATTTTCTCACATAATTTTGGTTTATAATTTAACATCATCCTCCTTGGTGAGTGCAGCTTTCATTTCAACATTTTGCATATGTTCCTTGTACTCCAGGAAACTGAAACAGCAGGGGAGAAAGAAGAAGGTCCCAAAGAGATGACTCCAGACAGGTTCAGCAGCCTATAATGGGTGAAAGGACTGAAAAGAAGGTATAGAGCCAAGAAAGACATACAGGTGAGGGAAGGCTAACATTCCAGGAAATTGACAAGTAGCTGGTTTTTAATTTTTGGCTTGTTTTTTTATTTTTTATTTTCTTTTCATGAGATAAGACAGTGGCAGCCATGGTCTGCTGGTTTGTGTCTGCACTCCTCCAGCTGAGAGAGAGCTGGAAGGTACACGCTTCACAGCTTTTAAATCCCTCTCTGAAAAGTAGCACAGTCACAAGTGTCTTGGCTTGCAAAGGTGAAGGGCCATTAATCAAGGTCATAGTAAGGAACTTGTTACTGTTGACTCATCTAGAAACACGGTCTTACAGCATGAAGTTCCAAAGCTGGAAGAAAGTCATGCTGAACCCAACTGACTCTGCATTTGACCTTGGTCCATGACCTATGCCAGGGGAGTCCTGTGATCACATGTCCTGGTGTATCGTGTGCAACCTTGGTTTACCCATGTCGTGGTCACCGTTTGACTCCCAGAGTGCCCTGGTATGGGTGATAAATACATAAGTTAGTGATAGTTAGTGGCATATATGCAGAGCAGGGCTGCCACGAAGAATGATGAAGCTGACTAGCAGTTAACCAGCCCAGGAAATGGTGCTTTCTGCTTGAGTTCTCATACTCTCTGTGACCTTGAGCAAGTCACTTAGCCTTCAAGTCTCAGTGTTCCCTAATGATTGCTTCATGGTCCTCAGAAGTGCAGTTCTGAAGCCAGAAGCAATGTGATCACAGCTCAGAATGGCAGTCCACACTGGCCTGCACATTCCAGAAGGCCACAATGGGTCTTGAGTTCTGATCTCAAGAAGTCTGGGATTTGAGTTCTAATCCCTGTTCTTCTTCTATGTGATCTTGAGCCAGTGGCTTAACCTCTCTGAGTCTCTGTTTCATCCACAAAACAAAGGAAAATTTTGTGGATCCTTTTCAGATCTATACTTTTTAAAAATA